GTATATCAAAACGATACTCTTGCGGCAATAAGTCAAAAATTAAACTTTAAAGTTTTGAAACTCAAATTTTGAACTATTGGTGGGGGCGATAAAGGTTTATTAATGATTAGAATTTTAACATAATGTTTCTATTAGTCGTGGTCGTGGTTGTGGCGATAAAGATTTTATTCTACAGTTTTCAGAGATTTTTTACATGCAATTTCCTTTCGGTGGTTCAAGACATTGCAATTTTGGCTAATTCCGGCTACCCTATGCAGGTATGCAATATAAACATATTTTTATGTACACAATTGGACGATCTATTTTCCGAACAATTGATATACAGAAATAACCCACCGGACTTTTTTTTCTACACGTTATATATTTACTTCTTTCAACGACGTTTCTAAGACTCGTCCGGCTTTGGTTCGAGAATTACAGAGATTTTCTCCTTGTGATCGCCTCTTAGAACCTCTACGGTCACCTAATCAACATCATCAAAATGTCACTCTCTCAGATGCAGAAACAAGTTGACGAAAATGCAGATTTTGGACTCGCTATTTTACCTCATCGCCGACTTTGCATTGATCGAGAATCCGGTACAGATCACTCCCGTTAGAGACTTTTGTACCGTTAACTGAGGTGATTATGTCTCCTAGTATTAGTCTCCCGTAACCGTCACGTTTCGTTGACTGAAGTCCCTGTTAAACAACAATCAACAACATCATTTTAATGTTAATACCGCAGAGTGGAACATAGAGAATATCTGTTATATCGAAACTTGGAAACAAGAAGAGCTTACTGCTTTCCCAGCTGGACCACTTGGAGGAGCATCCAAGACGAGCACGCCACTCACTCCCAATTGCTCAACAGATTGGTCCGGTGCGAATTTGATACCTAAGATTGGTCTTGTGACTTTACCAAATCTCACCAACTGATCAACGATACCACCCACCTGAGCATGAGAGAAACAGAGCTCGAAACAGCTTTACTCTCCCATTAGTGGATTCAAGGATAGAGAAAGACTCTCTCTCTGATTGTGTTTGCAATGGGAAAAAAAAAGAAGTCGAGAGAACTTACGGTGTCAACTGGGATCGAAAATCCCACTCCAGAAGATGCACCAGAAGGAGAATAAATGGCGGTGTTTATACCAATTAGCGTTCCTGAACTATCTAGAAGAGGTCCTCCGCTGTTACCGGGGTTAATAGCAGCATCTGTCTGTATCACATCTTGAATTGGACGACCAGTTGCAGCAGAACTAATTTCTCTTCGCAAACCACTGTACAAATCATAATACACAAACATGCTACAGTTTTCAGAACAGAAAAGGCCAGAAAATAAAAAGTAAATCCATTACGCCTGAAGAGGGGCAAGAGAAAATATATGTATCCTCATGTACCAACCATCTTTTTTTACCGTTTCGTTTGCGAGTTAACTAATTCCAGCATGATTATCGGAAGAACACATCCGATTTAAGGAGAATGCATCTTAAAAAAGAGAAGACAAAGACAATTTAACATACCTAATAACACCAGTTGTGAGAGTATGATCAAGTCCAAACTGCACAAAAAGGTTCTTGCTTTAGTGCGTGTGTCCAGAAAACATAAGTATCGACCCAGCTAGCAATAGAAACCACAAAAGCAGAGTTCTACTCTATAATCACTTTAAGGATATACACTCACAGGATTGCCAATGGCAAAGACTTTCTGGCCAACAAGAAGATCCGCAGAGACTCCAATCGGTATAGGTCTTAATTTGTTTTTCGGTGCATCAATACGTAGAACCGCAACATCCTTATCTTGATCAAATCCAACAACTTTTGCATCAAATGTTGTTTGATCAGCAAGAGTTACCCTATTATATAGATCACACAACCTCCTCATCATTCACAAACAACAAAAGGAACCATCCAAGCGAAACAATGTAGTCAAAGAATCCAAAATCAATCAGATTCATAAAGTGTCAACAAAATTGAACCTGAGATCAGAAGCACCACGAATAACATGATAATTGGTAACAATGTGACCTTGCTTATCCCACACAAAACCTGAACCAGAGCCTTGTGGTACCTCAAGAACATCCAATGTAAACGCGTCCTGCCTAATTCACACAACATTAGACCAATCCTCAAATCACAGATTACATACAAATCCATAATCAGATTCAAAGATCGGTAAAATTGATACCTGACGGCGAGATTAGTGATGTAAACAACGGAAGGAGTATTCTCTTGAAACAAACGAACAGTCGCGAGCTCATCAGTTTGAAGTTTCCTCGGAGTACTGACTACAAACGCCGAAGAAGGAGAAGCGGCGAATAGTGAGAACGATAACGCGACGGAGGTACAGAGGAGGAAGAAAGGTTTAACGGCGGAGAAAGGAGGAAGAAGAAGAGTATCATCATCGTTGTTGCTGTCGTTTAGTGGAAGCTTCGAGAGAATTCGGAAATAGCGTTTGGATCGGATTGGGTAGAGAGAAATTGGAGAGGATCGTGAAGAAGAGAGATTGAAGAAGGAGAGATGAGAAGAAGGAGGAGAGTGAAGGAAGAGAGTAGAAGAAAGGAGAAGCGAACAACTCGTCGTCGTCGCCATTAGTTTCTGGTCATGGACAATGGGATTGTGGTCTCTGTTTTATTTCTTTTTTTTTTTTTGTTATAAAAATATCAACTTTTGAAAATAATGGGGTTTTTTAGGCGACGCTATGGTTATGAATACGCAACCGAAAATAACCAAATTGAACCAAACAAAACCGGCTTTTGTGTGACCGAATCAAATCAGTATTTTTGAAAGTATCATCTTGTGTTAGATTGTATTAGATTCGTACCATCTTCATCAAGGCGAGCAAGGGATATATCAATCAATTTTGATGATCAAACTGAAACCATTATTGACAAGAACAATACTCTTTAGCTTCATGTTAAGGTGAGTGATATGATTCTTGTGCAAATAGCAATGAACGATATCTCTGTAAACAACATAAGAGAACAGAAAAAAAAAATCAATGCAATAAAAAACAACAACTTATTTGTAAATTAAGACAAGACAATTACCCCAACAATCCTTTTAAAATTAGTGTTCGATTGCCATCATAATTTCGCAATTGGTTGTTTTACAAGACACCCTCAAATTCTCACAACATAGTTATGCCTTGCAATGATCCTATTGAATTCTTTTTTCACGATTTCGCTAATTTGTTCAAGCTTACGTGCGCTTTCTGATCAATTAAGTGGGTGATTGGTTGGGGCTGAATTTGTAGTTTTAATGCTTTAGAATTTGGATTATAGACATGTTAGCCGTAGGTGTGATATTTTTGTAAAGCAAATCATGATTGGTAAATACTAATTTTATTATGTAGATTTTTTATACATATTAATTTTGTATTATTTTCTTAAACAATTAATAAAATATATAGTTAATATGAATATTAAATCTGGTTAAACAAAAAGAAAATAATATAAATTTGATATATAAATGTACGCAAATAATAATTAATAATACATGTATGTACATATGAATAACAAAGTTTTTATGCGTATATGAAATATAATATATGGTATTGGTTTTCTTAGTTTGGCATATAGTATTATTATTATTATTATTATTTCCATTTGATTTTATAATATTATCATGTATTTAGTATTTACTGTTCAATATATATATATATATATATATATATATATATATATATATACACGTAATTCTTTAAGAATTTACAAAATTAGATAAATTTCTTTATAAATTATTAATTATAAATTTATCGATAAATTAATATCTCTATAAATTAATAGATTTTCATTGTTCCAACATTATTAATTTATAAAGGTTTTACTGTATATATATAGTAGGATAAGAAAGTAAGATAAGTATAAATATACATGAAAAATTATGAATGAAAGATAGATAGAACGTTTAAAAAAAAAACAGATAAATAGAATAAAAATAAATAGTTGTTAATTTTTGCTACATCCTTCCTACAACCGAAATAATGAAGGTGTAGAAATTTGGTTCTTACCAACAAAACAAAAAACAAAAAAGGTAAAACATGATTGGTGGGTTAGGAAGTGCAAGGCGGTAAGGACATCCACATCGGTGGTCACTTATTTGGTATCTTAGAATTTAAATAATGTAAAATAATTGAAAAGTAAGAGAACTCGACGAAACGTATCTTTGTAAAAAAATGGTTTTCAACTTTTTAACATACTCCATTGATAGTTGTTTTATGCCCCGTTCTAAAAATCCTCGCCTAACCCGATTACTCTCCGCTTAATCGCTAGATCCACCCTCTCCACCTCGATTAATGACTAATTCCTTCAAAAAATCAGTCACCCGATTACTCTCCGCCTAATCCGATTAATTCTCGCGTAATCCGATTATTTTCCGCCTATTCTTACATATCCCGATTATTTTTTTATTGCAAGTATAAAACAACTCTTTTTTTTTGTTATTTAAACATTTGAATTGGAAGTTTGTGATGTTTTACAATAATTTATATTCAAATTTTTAACAAAAGTCATAATTTTTAATAAAAAATCTAAAAATTTACCTTAAAATATATTTTTATATGTTTATTACAATTTTGAAAATAATATTAGATTAATATATTTTTAAAATATTAAAATAACCCTAAAACTAATCTCCGATTAATCTCCCATTTTCCGATTAATCGCTAGACCCATACTGAACGCCCGACTAGCGCCTAGCGATTTTTCAAACAAGGGTTTTATGTAACTTGTTAATATATATTTTTATTAAATTTAAATTTTAAATAAATAACTAAAACTAATAAAATAATATATTTTAGATACCCAATGGGTTTTTGCCTAGGTTACTTTAAATTTTTGTATATAATTAAAAATATATAATCATAATTACTTTAATAATGTATTTGAAACAACTATAATTGTTTTTAACAGTATAATGTTAAACAAATCATCCTACCAAAAAAAAAAAAAACAAATCATAATTTGCTTCTTTTTTGGGTTATCTTTGTGCTAAAACCAAACCAAACGAACAAACCGAACTGAAGAGTGCAAAAACTAATCATGATTTCGCTTCTTTTAAGAACTTTAAAAATTCAAAAGCCCAAAACACCAAACTTAAAAATTATAAAAACCAGATAATTCGCTCCTAATTTGAACACAAAACACTTGTGCTCCACATGAGTAAAAATGGTTATTAGTAAATATATCTTCTTTCGTCGAACTTATTAAAAACTTGACTTGGTAGAGATCTAAATCAACTAGATAAAAGTGCAAAAAAATTAAAGGTTTAGTTTAGAGAATCTTCTGGGACGGTCTAAGTTCTTTAGGCAGTTCACTAAAATTCTCTGCGTCCACATCGGCTTGATACATTGGTCTCTTCCCCATTTTCCACACAATCCCTTCAGCCAAATGTTCTTTGTTCGGTGTTAGCATTACAAAGTTTGGATCAGCTCTTTGGTAACTGCAATGTCACAAAATAAAACAACGTGAAGATCATGAAGCTTAAGAGAGTTGATTTATTTTAAACTTGTCACAAATGGACTTACCTGGCTTCTCTTATGTTATCAACACGTAGACCAAACCCACATTCGACATATCCAGTCCGATGATTAGTTGTTGCTGCATAAAAAATGAACCCGACATGTTCAAATACCAACAACCTATGTTCATCTGGATTTTGCTGAACGCAGATCAAGAATCTCCAGATTATTTATCGAAGTATACCTGAAATATTGAATGCGAAAGACGGTTTCCACCACGACTTGAATGCTAATGACAATGTTGAGCTATGAGCTCCGACTTTACCCTGCAAAAATTGAAAATGTTATATACTGAGCAAATATTGAGATAGCTGTTCTCTTCGGGTAACTCGGAAAGGTATATGTTCTAATACCTTCAGCAAGAAGTTCTTATTGGCCTGCCAAGACGCAGCCATCTGCAATAAAGAATCTGGGGCATTGTGTGGTGTCGTGGAATCATCAACCCTTCAATATTAAAACGAAACTAAAGCTATGTTTCCGTATAGACAAACATTAGCTACAATGTTTTTTTTTTTTACTTAGAGATGTTCACTACCTCGATTGTAGCTCAAAACCTAAATCAATGTAGTTTGTGATTCCAACTACTTGGTTTTCTTCAAAAGGATTTTTCACCTGTTCCATTAAATCCATTTCATATTGAGCCAAAAGTTGTGCAAAACTTTATATATGGAAGACTAGTAATAGATGCAGAACAGAGAAATGACTGGTTTGAAAGAGTCATACCCGTCTTTGTACCACGATGTGTTGGTAGAACGTAGCGATAAACTGCATTTACAAGAAGGATAACATAATCAGCAAGAATAAGAATGCTACAAAAATGGATGAAACAGACAGCAAAAGAGCAATGTTTTCATCTATACGGATTTCAAAAGGATCACCTGAGAGCTTCTTGCTAGTTCAATGCCAATGTTAAACGAAGGACTCAAGGGGCTTTGTGACCCTACTCCATAGCCAGCAGCACAACTCCAGTTTCTTAGGTCTGTGTACTTTGCCAAATCTTCGCTTCCATCTAAAACAAAATCCAATAACAATTGTTGATGTTCACTTTTATTTCAATCACATAATGTATAGATAATAGCTTCCATGTGTGATGAGTAAAAGCTGTTCGACAGGAATAAAACAATGTATACACTGACTCACATAGCGGCTCATACTGCACTCCTACTGTAAACCTTCCCATCTTGCTTACAAGCCATGCATGCTTTGGCAATTCGTTATTCGCTAAATTGAAGAATCAAAGGGTCAGCATTGGGTCCAAAACAAAACAACGAGAATTTGCAGAGGAACTTGATGTGCTTACCAGTAAAAGGAGTGACAGTAGCTCCGACAGACAAATTCGTTGAGCCATATCTCAACCCCATGATTCTATATTCTTCAGATAAGTTTCCACTATAGAGAAAACATATATTCATCTTTACAATCTTACATTGTAGCAAAACATCTATCTATTCTAAGTAAAACGACAGCATATACACATGACTTACGTCTTTTTTGAAATCAAAGGGTAGACTGCAAATGCCCCGATCCCATATTTAGGGTAGTAAGCAGAAGACCTCATTTGAAGAACCCTTAATGATAACAAACAGAATAAACAATTTCAAAACATTAAACTTCTGTAATGAACAAAAGCTCCAAGAATATAACAAAAGTAGCACGGAGATTACGGATTCGATGTTGACACAGAAAGGTCCACAAAAGTATGAGGATCATCAACATCACTACACATTTAAGAAAAACAAACTGATCAGTATTCTAATTTTCCAACAACTACCTGTAATCTTTCAGATAAAAACTAAAATCTATACCTTTGCCAGCGAAACTCCGCGTTTCCAACAAAATCTCCATCCGCTCTACCATCTACTGCACCCCGAACCTTCGATTATTAAGGAAAATATCTCCAATTCATCGATAAAGACAAAACTTCTCGAATCAATCACTAAACAGAAACTAAAAACACAAAAGAGATTTCAAATTGGATACAGATGCAACCAAATCCACATGAGGATCATCAATAGGCTTCAACAAAAACTTGGCCGAGAAATTATTTGCTTCTTCAAAGTAATCCTCAAATAGACATTTCAATGCAAGCTTCCCAAACAACAAATTATATGATGATTCCAACATCCTGCATCATCTCAACAACAATTTCTCAAAATCGAACAAATACAATCTATGTTACCAGAATCGATCTATTGATTAGAAACAGCGATTAATCCAAAAATCGGAGAGATCGGAGAAGAAGAGGAGATATAGTAACCTAGTACGGGCGGAGAGAGGAGGGAAATCGAAGAGCGGAGGAACAAGAACCACCGGAGGCGGTGGTTCTTTTTTGACCAGAGCATTCCCCATTATTCTAGAACGGAGAAGAAGAGATTCTGCGACAACGAGAGAGATATAGAGAGGGAGAGAGCTTCTTCGATGAATCGATTGTTAGTGAGAGCGGCGATAGTGTCGCTTCTGCTTTTGCTTCACGTTTGAATATTTCAACATTCTTCTATATTAAGACTTTATATATCAAAAAACCCTACGCTTTGAATGAACCGACTCTAATGCTAATTAATCCAAATAAAAATCTCATAAACCTAACAATATTTTTTTAATGTGAAAATGTTTCTCAGCTACGCCAACAATACGTCATCGCATCGTCACACAAGCAGACAAAAACAATGTTGCGATAGCTACACTAACTATTGTAATCACATAACGACATGCACGAACTAACATGAATCATGATGTCGACACCATAAACATACATTCCGATACCGGTCCGGTGAAAAAAACGACAGAATCCGGCACCGGAGATGCCCACTTTCAAACCCAACCCATATTTAATTAAAACCCGACCCAGACACAATTTAAAACCCGACCCAAAAAAAAAATCAGAATAAAATCAAAGGGTGTCGATAAACCCGACCTAACTTCAAAAACCCATTTCTAATTGAAAACAAAAGAAAAAATGTCGATTCTATGTTATTAGTGTCGATTCAATGCGTTTCTCTGCCACCCTTGCACCTCTTCTTGATCGAACCACTTGAAATATTTGCAGTGCTCAGTTCCTCCATCCTTAACACATCGTAAACACTCTTAAGCTTCCAATCTTTTTTCATCTTAGTATTAACGAACACATATCAAACATATCTTGTACAATTGACACCCGAAAAACTTTCTACCCGGATTCTTCTCAGTCTTTGATGTGAATATCTTTGTCGGCAATCCACAATCACATTTCTTCATACCTCCAGAAGATCTACTCATACTAGATGAACCCATACTTATATCCATCTTACAAAAAATCAGACATATATCTTCATTTAGACATTTTATCAAACAACTTATATGCATCAATTTCTAAATCAATTACAACCTTAATAAACTACCAATTCTTTCCCATTACAACAAAATCACCACGTAAATCGTTCCACTACTTACACACATTAAGTAAATTTACTATTACAAATTTTAAAATAATCAACTTACAATGTTTCAAATCCGACAATTTGCTCAATACTTGCAGCGATAGAGAACTTCCTTTCCTCAATTCACCTAACCCACACTAATAACAGAGAATCGACATTTCTTCTTTTGTTTTCAATTAGAAATGGGTTTTTGAAGTTAGGTCGGGTTTATCGACACCCCTTGATTTTATTCCGAATTCTTTTTTTTTTGGGTCGGATTTTAAATTGCGTCTGGGTCGGGTTTTAATTGAATATGGGTCGGGTTAAAAATTGGGCATCTCCGGTGCCGGATTCCGTCGTCTCTTTCACCGGACCGGTATCGGAATGTATGTTTATGGTGTCGGCACCATAACTCATGTTAGTTCGTGCATGTCGTTATGTGATTGCAATAGTTGGTGTAGCTATCGCGACATTATTTTTGTCTGTATGTGTGACGATGTGATGACGCATTGTTAGCGTAGCTGAGAAACATTTTCCCTTTTGTAAAACTTTAATTATTAGAAAATGGTTGCATGGGTTTAATACTATATTATATTTTAGAAGATTTGACGAATAAGTTGATAAAAAAAAAGATTTGACGAATGTTTATGTTGTGTTTCATTTACAAATATACATTTTGATATTTTTTATTGAGAAAAACATTTCTTTTAAAAATTACATAGTCGACGATTTTAAAAAGTATAAGTTTGATTAAAACGTTTCTACATGAAAATATTCTTATTTTTGTTTTTTACAATACTTACGCTTCTAACACTTAAACAACATGATTTTAGTTTTTAGTGTACCATTTTTTGTTATTTTGAGATGTTAATTTTGTGATGTAAAGGAAACATCGTCTTATAAAAAAACTACTTTATTTTATTTTTGTTGTTTCTACCAATTTTGTGTTAAAATCATTTGATTCAATTGATAAAATCTCAAACTTATTATTCTTTTTGATCATGTTACATAGTTGTAGTTCCACTTGCGAATAGACTTTTCTTTGAGATATGCAACACAATTTCTTATAACGGTTTACATTTAACTTTTTTATATTTTGTTGTAGAACTCATTAATAATATGGCCATTGAGTTTTCTCTCTTTTTTTAGAAGATAAATTATAATATTTAAGACTTTAAGATCTTTTTTATATATAAATTCACAAAAATGTGACATTTACAATTTCTTCGTCTTTAAAATTTAAATTGATTTTAGTAATCTATTATTTTTCATAAGTGAAAATGTAATAATAAATAAAGCTCTTTGTAGTATATTGTTTTTAGAAACTAATGTTTGAACTTTAAATTTTATTTTCCTGTCAAAAATTTTATAAATAGAGTTATATAAAAATTTCTTTGACTATTTAATCTTAGTCGGGGTTGTATTATGTAATCTTACTTCTATTCTAAAACTCACTAACACATTGAAAATTTTGAAATATTATCACTTTTAGTTTTTTCTTCTTTTTTATGTTGAAAATTGAAATACTATTATTACTACAGTAGAACCTCTATAAATTTTGAAATACTATTTTCTTTTGTTTTAATGAAAAGAAAAGCCCTAATTTTTCTCTTTATATATAACAATGCATTCGCCTCACCTTTCATCTATATTACAAGTTGCGAAGATAATCTCAAACATAATCTCCTTCATTGGTAAGTGTGAATAATCATATATTATTTTTATATAGTGATTTTGATAAGATATTTAAAACTACACATTGTTTATTAGATAAATTTAGGAGCATATATAAGTTGTGTATCTGAAAAGATTTCGATTTTTGTCTCTAAATTGTATCAAAATATATAGCAGATCTGAAATTTTGTACTCGATCTAAAAGTTTTGGATATACAATGCATCAAAAATTTTAAAATAATTTGACTTTTATTTTTGTATAATTATATTTTTAAGAAATTCAAATTTATTGTGATTGCAAAATTTGATGTATTATGTAATTTGTTTGTCATTTTCTATGTTTTGCAGTTTTTTCAAGAGAAAGACAAATCAAAATGAATCCAAACCTATGCAGATTTTGCAGGTTGCAAAATAAACAAGTCAACGACTGCATATTTGCTTCACTGTTTCCTTCAAATGATTTACGCAAGTTTACTATCATGAACCTCGTCTTTGGACCCGAAACTTTGACATTCTTCCTCAAAGACCTTTCACACATGGACCGCAAATACACTACCCGGACACTCTACTTTGAGGGTAGTGTATCGCGGTCCATGGGTGAAAGGTCTTTGAGGAAGAATTCAAAGTTTCGGTCGTAAGACGAGTTCATGATAGTAGACTTGCGCAAATCATTTGAAAGAAACAATGGGTGAAACATGCCGTCGTTGACACATTGTTTTTTTTGAAACTTGCAAACTTCCCATGGATTTGGATTCATTTTGCTTCGCCTTGTTTTCCCGAAAAAACTGCAAAACATATTTAAAAATAAAAAATAAAAATAAAAAATAATAAAAACAAAAATAAATTACATAGACCAAATTCATAATCACAATACAATTTTAATTTCTTTAAAAATATTATAATACACAAATAAGAAGTAGAGATTATGTTTTTAGGAATTACGATGCTTTGTATATCCAAAAATTTCAGATCGAGTACAAAATTTCTGATATGCTATGTATTTTGATACAGTTTAGAAACAACAACAAACAAAAAACTAAATCCTTTCAGATACACAACTCATATACGCTCCTAAATATTTCTAATAAACAATGTGTATTTATATTTATTATCTAAATCATTGAATAAAACAAGGATATTATGAAGATATGTACACAGAGGAATCTGAAATTAACTGACACAAAAAGACAATGTCTGACAAACACTGTATATGTACAATTGACGATTGCACCCCTATATATCTGCCAAAGAGTAATTTTAGGATATAGCTGAATTGTGTGAGATGACATGAATAAGATCTTTTGGTTTGATTTTTTTAGGAAAATCCAATATAATTTAAATTTAAATTATTTTTTGTCTCAGAATTTCCAATGGCCACCTTCTTTGGCGGTTATATCAAAAACTCGAATTATTGTTGTTTGGAGAATCAGAGAGATTGAATTTTTTTGTTTAAAAGCAAGCTTATTGTTTCTGGAAAATCTAATCATCGCCTCTTTTGAAGTCTAAAACGGTGAAGGTAATTGTCTTAAATTTCAGACCTAGCGTTTTTCATTTTATATGTTCTCGATTGGTTCGGAGTTTAAACACTACTTGGTTTATGTGATTTTTTTTTAGATGTAATAGTTTATGGTTCTTGGAAGATTTTCTCTACTCGATAAGGCTAGTGTTAACTTGATCACGATTTATAATTTTTTTTCTCTGGTCGATAAGGCTAGTGTTAACTTGATCACGATTGAAAGATTTAAATGCGAAAAGGTCGGTGAGTTATAAAAAGCATTATAACAGACTTAGTGAGCAACGTTTTAGTAATCATGTTAATAGAATTTATACACGCTAACATTGAGACTTTAAATGTTATGTTTTTTTGTTACCATCTCTCTACTCACTATTATCATTATTAGCCTAGTATTATATCAACATTAAGTCATGCTATACTCCTGTTAATATAATTCATGTTTCGCTAGCGATATAACCCTGATACCATGTTATCTTCTAACTTTCCCATTACGTGTATTACTTGATTATTCAGCCGCAAGTCAAAGTTTGTTTTATCACGCTAAATATTTTTTTACCAGTTATTACTAATGTTATCGTCTTCACATATATAATCCAACCCTTGAAATCTAATCGTTGGTTCGATAACAAAATATGTTTATCTGGTTAATTATATTATTAACATGTTAAATAGGTGCTTACCTAAGTTTTTACATCAATTTATCAAACTACCCGCCATGTTTCACTAACAATATTACCCTGATAATACGTTATCTGCTAACTATCATGATGTATGTATTATTCTCTATATGATTATTCGGCCGCAAGTCAACGTTTGCTCATCACGCTAACATAATAAGTCAGTGTTGGTTTGATAACCCAAAATATGTTCATCACATTAAGTGTATTATTAATATGAAATCTTTACTCTAATCTTCGACTATCGTTTATTGTTAGCTCCACTTGCATTGTCGCTGCTAACATTGGTGTTACATAGTAACATTCTTGTTAACACGCTATATCATAAAACCTTTATTTCCGTGCTATTCCAGTAGTTATCTGAAATGACCGCCTAATTCATACTCCTAACATTGATATTGCATCCCAAAACAAATCCTCTGTAGTTAATAATTTATTTTTTCTCAGAATCTTTATCTTCCCACGTGCTACACCACTAACTATCTTCGTGTTTTGTAGGGGCAGTTTCGTCTTAATTATTGTAGGAGAGGAGAGGGAACAAAATATCTAATGAAGAATGCTACATACTTAATTTTTCGTTCTTCTGTGTATTTATATTTAATTCACCCATAAAACAAAAATATATGATTAATCGCACTTACCAATGTAGGAGATTATGTTTGAGAGTTTTCTTCGGAACTTGTAATATGGTGGATGAAAGATGAGGTGATACATTGATATATATAGAGAAAAATTAGGGTTTTTCTTTTCATTACATTTTTCCACAATTAAGCTAATATAAAAACATCTTGGACCACTCTAGTCAATGTAAAAAAGTTTTTTTTTTTTTTTTTTTGTTAAAACAGTCAATTTAATAAAGTTTAAGATAGAATTTCATTAACTTTGACATTGTTTTATTTATTAATAAGTAAAATAATGTATCTATATATAACACAAGAATAGTAAAAAAACAATTTATGTTGACCATAAAAAAGGGAAAAATTTAGTAATTAAACAAAAAGGTATGAAATCTAATAATTAGATACCTAGTCTAATATGAAAAAGATTTGGACAACTCTAGTCAATGCTAATCTATATTATTAATTGGGAATCACTACATATTAAACAACCTTATAAAGGGTAAAATATTACAAAAGATGCCATTGATTTTTAGTGTTTTTAAATAATTTCATTAAGGGTACAATAGTAATCACAAAATTAATATATTTAAATACAAAATAGTTAAATTCTTTAAAATAATTATTAATTTCCAAAAAAATAAACTAATTTTCTCTCTCTTATTAATTATGGACGAAAATTTGAAATTAATTTCTAAAAAATTTTTAACCAATGAGAATTGAAAAACTAAGATTT